CACACTGAATTAGGGCCACCCTCGGGACTCCATTTTTTTTAGTACTGGGGATTGAACTCTGGGTTTTGCACTTCCCAGGCAGGCACTTGAGCCACACCCCAGCCTACAGGGTGCTTAAATCTACAAAGAGCTTGTTGAAATAGCAGTGCGTTCTGAGAAGTTGGGGCTTAAGACTTGAACCTGTCTTCTTTGTTGGGGGTGGGGAACACAATTTAACCTATAACACAGACCGGGGGCACAGTGAGGTTCCTAGAGAACATGACCCCAGGTGGACAGATGGCTGGCCTTGGGATGCAGAATCTGAGGCCAGCTCTCACCGGGTAGAGACACTTTCTGGACCTGCTTCCTTCTTTTGTGAAGTGCCAGAGGCGTTAGAAACTTCTGATTCTCTTAACTGACAATTGAGGACTAGGATCAGAAGCTAGAGTTAGACTACAGTCTAACTTTAAGTTAAAGTTAACTTAAAGACTGGTTTTATAATGCCCAGTCCTGAACTTTTAACAACTGAGCCCAGCCCAGTTTATTCTGTTTCTACATTCGTATCTTTCTTCCGAATACCTATTATGGGGAAGGACTGGGATCACCAAAATGCTGCAGAAACGGCGTCCCAAAAGAGCTTGAAGTCTCCCGACACACACATCCTGGGTGTCTCCTGCCGCACCTGCCCGGTCTATCCCAGGTTTATTGCAGCTCCTCTTCAGGAGGGAGCCAAGTCTGCAGACACTGGGCTCCCAGGGCACAGCACCATTTCTGGAAGTGTTCAATAACTCATCTTTCCTAATGCTTCTAAGAGAACAACTGAGTAATTGCAACTGCCTCAGCTGAGGCTCAAGCATGAGCAGCCTCAGGGAAGACTTTTCTAGATGCCCGGCTTTTCTAAGAGGCCTTGGAGCCATTGCTGATCCTGGCTGGATGGCGGAACATGCAATGCTCTTCCAGATGACCTGTTGGCTGCCCTTATACAGACAGCTCCTGCAGCTGGCTGGCTGTTCCAGAAGGACGTGAGCAGCGGCCACATGTGATGCACACAGCTCTGACCCCACAAGTCACCGTGCAAGGGGTACTGACTCCACCCAGACCTGCTGACCTCTCCCGCCTGGTTCAGCTCAGGAGTGAAGCTGACTTCAGGGGCTCTGTGTCCTGTCACTGCCCTCACCTTGGAATGTTGCATACTGCTCACCCTGGCCACGCTGAACTCTTGCATCCAATGTGATTGGAGGACTGGCGCAAACTGGCAAGGGACAGCAGGCCCCTGGGCATGAAAGAAAGTCAGGACAGATCTGAAAACAGCCAAGGGGAAGCAAGATATCACATGATCAAAAAGACGGGAATGGAAAGGCAGAGATGTGCCCCTGGGAGGGTGACAAGTTGCTGAGGACCGTCACCGAGTCAGCCCCCAGTGCAGCCCAAGGGACAAGTCCTGCTGGGCCCATAGGTGCCTCACTTCCTGACTGCCAGCAGTCAACGCCTACAGCCTGCCAACCTGGCTGGGTCCCAGGCAGCAAAGGAGCAGGTGTGGACGGCCCACAGTGATTAACTCCACTCCTGGGGAGAGAAGTCCCACAGGCCGAAGTGGCTCGCTTGCATGAAGATGGTGCTGCAGCAATGCAGCCGTGACACGGGGTGCAAGTTCTGTGCTGCCACACGCCCGCCATTCCTGGAGGCTTGCTCGCGCCCTCCTCTGTGCTGTCTCTGTTCTCCCAGGGCCACAGCCTGCTGGGGACATTGGTCAGATGGTCACCAAACTCAAATGGCTGCGGTAACAGTGCTGAGGCCTGGAGGGGATGTGCAGAGGTTTGCCATGGGGTGGAGAAGGAAAAGACATTTCGGCTGCAGTTGAGGTCTGCAGGATGAGTAGGAATGAATACAATTTAAATGAAAACTTGCTGAGAAAAGACAGAAAACTGTAGAGAGCAGTTCTAGTGAGATTAGCCTTCATCTGCATTTACCCTCATCTGTGTTCCTGAATTTGAGCCTACACAGAGCATGGGGCAGCAGCCACGAGCACTGCTGAGCTTTTTACTGCTTGTAAAAGGGTGTCCACTTTTCATCTGATGGTGCTACCATTTTCTCTCTGCCTCCCCTGTTTCTTTCTTTGTGGTACTAGGGATTGAACCCAATGCCTTGCATTTGCTAGGCAAATGTCCTACCACCTGAGCTACAGCCACCAGTCCTGTCTCAAAAACAAAATAAAAACAAACAAACAAACAAAAAAAGGGTATAGCGCAAGTGTAAATACTTGCCTAGCACATGAGAGGTTCTGCGGCTCAATCCCTAGTACCGGAAAAAAAAAAAAAAAAAGACAGGATCTCACTACCTTTACCCAGGCTGGCCTTGAACTCAAGACCCTCCCTCCTATAGCTGGGATTATTAGCATGCTACCAAGTCCCCCTTACTGTTTCCCCCTGAGCATGACAAATGCCTGGTATCTTAGCACTTTTATTCCTTCCAGAGAAATCTGGGGAGGAAGGGAAACTAGCATCTACTGAGTGCCTACCCCGTGCCAGGCACTGTCGGCTGTTTGGATAAATGTTAAGAAATTCAGATGCAAGTCTGACGACATTTACAGAAAATTCAGAGCACCATTTAGATACCCGAACTCGGAACCACTCCAGGCACCCTCTCCTGCTTCTGGGTTCTGCCTGCACTTGGGGTCAGTTAAAGGCTCTCATGGCAGACTTTCTGCTCAGGAGCAAGAGGAGGTGGATCAGGGCAGGGGGCAGCGGGCAGGGTAGTTTCCCAGGCAATAATTTGAATGCTAACACTGGGGCTTCCCGGGTGTTGTAGTTACATTATTACAGAATCTGAAACTCGGAATGTTTTCAGCCACACGTTGTCTATTTAAAAGGGAAGTAGAAAAGGCAAGTTTAGATTTAAAATGGTCCGTTCTTTACCAAGGTCAGGAAACACCCTTAATTCAAGGGTCACCAGAGGATGTGATTACATCCAAAGTCTTTCCAATCCGCCAGAACCCCCCTTATGTAAGATGTCAGGTGACCTTAAACCTGCTGAGGCTGCCCATCAACCCCAAGGTCCTGTCCACTCAGTGCCACCCGCACAGCTGGCAGGAGAAGTAGAGTGGTCTCTTGGGACTCCTGCTTACCTTGAATGAAATGGCCTAATTCAGTTATTTGCTCGAGGACCAGAAGAGTCCCAGGAAATTTAATCTCCAAAACACAAGTTTAGTCCAGTTCAGAGAAGGCTCGCTGTTGGAACCATGCGGGAAGCAGTCCCCACTGGGAATGTCCCACCCGCGATGACAGCTGTCATCACTTGGACCTTCGTATTAGTGTCCTGGGATGAGCACAATTACTAGCTTTCTGCCAGTAGTACTGGAAAGCTATGTCAAACAACGCTTTAAAAAGCTGTTGAGCGTGACACGAGTGGAAGCTGAGGGCATCTTCAGCTCTGGGAGGGCACATAGTTGCTTTGAACTGTTCAGAGTAGGAGTCAGTCACCGTCAGCAGAAACAAGGAGCCAAAGTACAAAGCTATTGGCCTGGAGCAGGCGAGGTGCCCCTGTGCCCAGGCAGCCACCCGTTGTCCCTCGATGAGGGGGCACCAGTGGGGGAGTGCATTTAGCCTCCACCATACAGAAGCAGACTCAGAGGATGGTCCCCAAGAGGCTATGTTGGAGTTCTGCAAACATGAAGAGCTGAAAAGTATTTTCCCATTCTAACATCCTCCAGGGGGCACCAGCCCCTTCCCCCTTTTTAGAAAGGAAGACTCATAAATACAAGTTGGTTTTGAACCTTTAATAAAAGTAAAAAATGCAAAAAGAACACAATGTGAAAATGCAGTATGAACGTGAACCTCACTGGGTGTTCGCTTCGTCTGGGATAGTGCAGGTTTGTTCATACTGTTTTACAAACTCAAACCACTTTGGTTCAATGTCTGCTATAAACTATTGGCAAAAAAATTCCTCGGATTCACATTTTTTGGCTACGTTATTTCTAACATACAGATTTACTTCCAGTTGAAGAGGAAACGCACTTACTGTTTGTGCATGATCAAGTGTATTTTGGACTCAGTGCTTTCCTCTAGCAACTTCTGTTTTTCATAAAATGCTGACATTGTCACTGAAAAACGCTGTCACAAACTCATCATGTTTTCATTTTCAGAAAATTTATACAGATCACCCATAGTTCAGAAGGATCCGTTTTCCTTTAAACAAAATTCCCCTCAAACAAATTAACTTCAGAAACCTAAAGCTTACTCAAGACAGTTCCCTCAAAACAAACCAAGCAAAAGCCCAACACAGATGGCCACGTGAAGGAAAGCAGACGGACTCCAGCCCACAGGCGGAGCACGTCCACTTGAGTCTTTTAATCAAGTCACTTCCACATAACTCAACACAACCAAAACATTTAAATTGCAAAATACAAAAAGGTAAATTTGTAAGTAAAAATTGCTAAACCCACAAAACTGGAGTATGTCAAAGGATGAGGGCTCAGTGCAGGGGGGACGGGAAGGAGCCTCGTGCCTCCTGCCAAAGAAGCATTTGCTGAGCTCCGCCTCCACGCAGCTCTGAAATGAACAAGAACCCTCTGGAGCAACTCATGCATTAAAAAAAATAAATATTTTAAGAGAATACAAGGCTCAGATTGGTTTTCAGATACATTGCACTTGAAGTTTAAGACCCAATGCTGCAAATCGGGTCCAACATGGCCTATGCCATTAAGTGACTCCACTGTGCTCACACCACCACGGGTTCAGGGGCACCGCACGCTCACTGCAGTGACACTCACTCTTTACAAGGCAATCACAGATTGCAAGTTCCATAGGGCTGTGCAAAAACCCGTCCTCTCTCCTCTAGAGCAACAAATAAACAGTTGTGGCTCACCAAGACTAAAATACACACGGATGTGCCTCACTCTTGGATGTTCTGGACTTGGGGTAAAACTTCATCAACTGAGGTGGAAATTCCAGTATCACAGTGTAGAATGGTGACTTTTCATTACCTTCTGCTCTCAGTAAGATTGTCAACACAAAACCCCATGAGAAGAATGAAAAGCACAGTGTCTGCCCTGGTGTTTCCGCATGTGTGATGGCTGCACAGGTGCCCGCCCCTGCAGCATCAGAGGCCAGTGTGACCATGCTGGGATCCACTGGTAGTGCCACTGCCCTATACTTGCTGCTCCTTTCATTCTTTTTTTTTTTTAAACACAACCCTAATTTTAAAGTCTTTTGGATAAATAGTCCTATTACACCATACTTCATCTTTTTAAAGCACCATCTTATCAACCTATTTCCTTTGGGCACACTGACATAAAACTGCTAGTTGGTAATTAAGTTTTAGTTCAAGGCTTTGAAACATGGCAACTTGTTTTGAATGACATCTAATACTTGGGAAACCACCCTCTGCCAGACTCCCATGTGGCCTGGCCTGGGACGGCAGGCTCCGGAACAAAGGCAGGAGTGGGGCGGGCGGTCAAGATAAGACTTCGAGGTCAGTAGTTCTTGTCTCCATCTCGCTATTCTAGACTAAGAGAATGTTTCTCAAGAGCCATTTGTCATCAGCCCCATCTAAACCGAGCTTGTGGGAAAAAGATCGTCTTCCGCACGACCTGCACCACAGCATTTCCCCCGGGGCCTGCTTCCTCTTCCTATCAGTGGCACTGGAGCTCAGTCGCTGTGTGGCTTCTCAGGGACACCCTAGTGGATGAAGAAAAGAGTAAAATCAGCACTAGTGTGTAAATAAAGGCAGAAGATTACGGTTCTGTTGACCCCAGGTGAGACTTGGAGCCCAGCTCCCCTACCTGCAAGGTTATACTGTCATCTTCACCTCTGAAGTTGCTAAGGCCCTGGTGTAAATGTGGAGCCTGTTGTTGGTGAGGAAGACACTACAGAAGTGTCACTGAGCCTCCATCTACATACAGGAAGCAGTCACCATAGCAGTGATGACACCCCGGAGAGCTCCGGCTTAGAGCTTAGTGAACCCCACTCTTAGAGCCAGTCTGTTTACCTGAAGAAAGGGAGGCTTCTGTGCGAGCCCACTGTGCTCTGCTGGGCCTTGGCCTGTCACACAGATCCCCAAAACTGTCAGGTTTTAGAACGCTGACAGAGACCTTACCACCCTTTCTCAACGACCCCCATGGACAGACCCCTGGAAGTTGCTGCCATTGTCAGGCCTGCATGGTAAACCCACGCAGTACGGTATCTCACAGATGAAGCAGACCCAGAGACTGCATGATTGCTGAGGCCACAGTGCTGCTGAACGCAGAGAAGCCTCGACACGTGCCTCCCTCCTCAAGTCTGTGTCCTCCTGCTGCACTCAGTGCCTCCCATCCCTCCCATTAGGCTTTGAGATGAAGATCCAGAAAACTGAGGTAGCCTCATCGGACTCCTGGACGAGTCTGGCATGCCATGATCCAGGAAGACCTAGCAAGCACACATCCCTTCAGCTGGAAATTTGAAGTGTAGTTCTTACACACGAACACCAGGAAGGTTTTAGAAAAACCTTAACTAGAGAAAATAAAGAGGCACATTCTTGCCACTGACCTAGAAATAAATAAAAGTGGTCACTAAATTTTACTACCTGCCCAATAATGTACTAATAACCAGACAAAACCCAGAATTTTTGGATCTATGGTCTGCAGGAGACTAAAATTGAGTCTGCATCAGCGTAGGAATACGAGTAGGGACAATCCACCAATTAGCCCGAGACAGACTCAACTTGGCACATCACCTTCCACCAGTGCTGACAAATGCAATGTTTTAAATGACTCACCCAGATCTTTTACACCTGTCTGGAGGATGAGTGACAGCCAGGAGCTATATGTTCAAAGGGCAGCAAGGACTAATAACAGGCAGGCATGACTCAAATCCCGCACTTGACTGCCTCATCTTCCTAAGCATCAAGTTCCCCATTGAAAAATGTGCTAAGAACAGCTGATATTTCCAAGTGTCAAGTAATGAGGGTGCAATTCGTTAGCAGTGACCAGTGGTTGAGTGTGCTGCCATCTCCAGTGGCTGAACTGGCTGACTCAACAGGAAAGACAATAGACCCACCATAGGGAGGTGGAGGCGGGCCTCTGCGGCCAGGGTCCCTGGACCGGACAACAGGAGCCCAAGACACACTGAAGCCTTACTTTGAAGACTTACGCTTTTCATAAAAGACTTCCAAATGCAAACAGCAACAACTACAGCTTCCACAACAATGGCTACAGACTCAGGAATTTCTTTTGAGCATGCATGCTGATGACACACAGGACAATGACATGGAGAGAAAGCCACAACAAAAATACTATACAGAGGAAACTCCTAGATTGTATGATAAGCAAAGCCAACTTGAGAGCTACTGGTCATGGTTATCCTTGGAAGCAGTCAATGTTCTTAAGGTAGAACTACAGGTGAGAAACCCAACTTAAAAACATGATCTTCAAAGCTCAGCATTGCTCAACTCTTTCAATGTCTCCTCCAACCATGTCGAGAAGCTTAGAGCTTGCTCGTACTGTGTGACTTCTCTACCCGCACAGCGTGTATGCTAAAACTGACGTGCAAGGCTTGATCATGAACGTGTAACACACCAACGGACCCCCAAGACAGCCAACCCTAAGAATGCTGCTCAAATTTTAATTGCATGACTAGTCAACCTGGCTGAAATCAATTCTATTTCCAGAAGCCCTCTTAAGAATTCTCCACAGAGTACTGAAATAAAAATCTTGAAGCAACAGGCAATTCTGCCCTGCCTGGTTCTGTTCTGAAAACAAACACGGTATACTACAGGGAAAAGCTGAGTGTGTAGAGGAAGCAGCTGCTCAGTTTCCAGGTGAGATCCACCTGGTTTTTAGTATCAAAAAAGCAAAGTGCTCTGATTCTCCATGAAGGGACTTGAGAAGGTTTTATTGGCAGCACATTTGCAATTCCCAGAAGAAGAGGAAGTGCCCTTAAACTTGGAAACCAGTGGAACACTTTACAAATTCTGTCCTTTAGAAACAACTTCTATTTTTGTGAAACAGTCCGGGTCTTCAGATTCGACTTCTCACAAACAGGTATCAGTTGGTGCAAATAAATGCACCGTTTTAAACAGCATGGAGTAAGAACCAAGTTTCCTGAGAAAGCCAGCTGATCTCTGAGAGCAATGGCTCAGCAGTCTGGTTTTTTGGGGATTTTTTTTTTTTTGGCAGTACTGTTTTGGGGTTCTTTTTTGGCAGTACTGGGGTTTGAACCAAGGGCTTCTCACTTGCTAAGCAGGCGCTTTATCACTTGAGCCACTCCACCAGCCCTGTTTTGTGTTGGGTATTTTTGAAATAGGGTCTTATGAACTAATTTGCCCAGGCTGGCTTTGAACTACAATCTCTACCTCCCAAGTAGCTAGGATTACCGGTGCCCAGCTAGTACCGGGGGTTTTAACTCAGCACAGGCACTTGCTAGGCGGGTGCTCTGACACTTAAGCCATACCTACAGCCTTAGTTGCCTTTTTCTAAGGTTCATTTTACTTAAGCCCTTGAGTCAAAGTCATTTCAAAATAATTTATTGGCGAGTCCTAATCCCCATTTTTGCCTACTGGAAAATAAAGAACCACTAAGAGTGCCTTGATTTGCCTCTCCACCTCACAGGAGGTGGCTGTGCCTGGGAGGCAGGCTTCTTTCTCTTCTAGTAACAGCAGGTGCAGTGCTCAGGTGAGGTGGTCCTCCTACCAGCAATCAAGCCACCTCCCACAATGGTCTGGGCAAGCCCTTCTTGGTGGCCAGCTCCACGTAGCCCCTAGAAGGGTGTGCTAGTTGACCTAGGCTATCCCCTGGGCTAGGATCTAGCAGGCTCTGGCTTGAGAGGAAGACAGTGCCTTCCCCAGCACCAGTCACACCCCTCAAATTTTGTTTGAAAGAAATTTCAGATGACAGATGCTGGGGAGCACAGGGCCATTCATCAGGTCATCCAGATGTGTGTGGCACTGAGGGAGGAAGGAAACACCACAGGCTGCCACTTTAGCAACCCCCATTCTTCTCACATGCAAATTCAGAAGTCATGGGACAGCTGTGACACAGGGCTGCACTGCAACTTTACTTCCTTTCTGCTGGAAGCATCTGAGCTTCCAAGTCTATAAATCTTCGTAACTTAGCAAAGAGTTCTGTAGTATCATTACCTCCCTCACTGAGAGTTTGAACTCCCAGTAATTGTGCTACTGAATCTGAACGAGACATACATCAACATGAATTATAAAACACCACGAAGGGAGATGCTACAGGCTAGCAAAGCTCACCTGGAGCCATCTACTCACCATTGCTAATTGCCGTCCTATGTTTCCCACTGTGACACCGCCTGAGAAAAAAATACACGGGAGCCAAGAACGGATATAGAGGAAGTCTGGGGATGTGTATCTAGGGAGAAAGCAAATGCGTGCAGTCAGTTACCTCAGCAATTTTTTCTGGGAGATTTTTCTGTAGCGGGGACACAAGACACTCACTAACCAAAAATGCTGCAAAATGTCAGCATTTAAAAGACACAGTTTATCACTACATTTGGCTCTCTCTAAGTAAAGTTATGGATGGTAGGTTTTTAAATATGCTGAGTCTAGCAGGAGCAGCACTTTGAGAATTTCATACCTAAATCTGTGTTTTTCTGTATAAAAGCCAAATAAATAAAATATGAAAACATCTAAGCTAAACTGTGTTTTTGTAAAGGCTAAGAGCACGCGGGAACACACTTACTGATATACACCATTGTACACCAGAAACTGAGTGATCAGAGTTGCTAAGAAGGCGATGGTGATTCCAAGCCCAAGGCCGCTTCTGGAGCGGTCGAATGTCCACCAAAGGCCCAAGGACAGCGCTGCTAAGGTCAGGGACAGCTGAATATTATTAGCAAAATCCAATTTCTTGTGATGCAAAAGTTAAGGAAAAGCTTAATATTTTTTCATAAGATACAAAACATTAAAGCCACAAGACCTACTCACAGGTGTTTATTCTTGTTTTCTGGCAGTACTAGGGTTTAAACTCAGGGCCTCGGGCTCCACCATGTGAGCCACTCTGCCCACCCTGTTGTTTATTATTACACAATAGTGATTCATTATCCATAACAACTCATAGCGAGCTAACCTGAAACTTCCCAGGGATCGCCAAGTCAAAAATGTAACTTTAAAGCTGCGCGCAGTGGTGCACACCTGAAATCCTAGCTACTTTGGGAGGCAGAAGTCAGGAGGATATCGGTTTGAGGCCAGCCCTGGGAAAAATGAGACCCTATCTGAAAAATAACAAAGAGTGAAAAGGGCTGCAGGGATGGCTCAAGTGGTAGAGTGGAAGGTTCTGAGTTGAAACTCCAGTGTAACTTCCCGAAAGCTGTATATGAAAGTCGGCTGGTGTTATGGCCATAGAGCAACATATTTTGCTCTGAAGCCATGTCTAGTTAGAAGACATCTGGACAGTAAGACACTTGAGTCTGAGCACAGCACTGCTGTCAGCTGGCCAGGAGGCTCCTCTGCCAGAACAGTCTCATATTCTGTTGAAACGGGAAATGGCCATAACTTTTAAAAACATCTTTCCCTCTTACTCGCTCTAAAGAACCCCTAAATCTTTTAAGGGGAGAATATGAACCATTTTCCTGAAAAATGCACCATGTACAAACACACAGCCTGTTGCAAAGGATGGATTCCATTCAGGTTCCAGAAGCTCAGGGGCCTTCTATGGTTGATCCTTGGACTGCAGCAGGTAGATGCCTTCTGCTAAGATGCAGTGACAGTGGCGATCACTCGCCACTGCTCACTGCTGTAGGAACCACAGACAAAGCGTAGACACAAAAAGGTGACTTCATAAAATCAGCTCCAAATACCAAAACAGAGCTGTGTGAGAAAAGAGAGCAGAGCTGCATACTGCATTCTACTATTTCAGCTGCTTCCAGAAATGAGCCAAGAGGACCCTGGGACCTGTCCCTTGGGAGCCCTGCTAAGTGTGAACTAAATAATATACGTCAAAATATACTACCTGGGTGAGGCAGCAAACACTAAGTACTCAACAGAACTAGCACAGTGCTCCCACACATGGCCTGCTAAAATCCCACGGCACACGTCAACCTGAGGATACGGCGCTGGCGTGGTTAATGCCCACGAAGACCGCGATGCAGCGCATGACGCTGGCCCACTCCCGCTTGAATTTGTGCGGCTCTCCCAGGTGACTGTCGATGCACGGGTACAGTAACCCGACCACCGCTGCGTGACGACAAGAGAACAGGGTCAGAACCATGCCAGCCACAGTACATTCAACTTGACAGTCTTGTTCTCTGTGTGTCCCCCACCCCAAACCACACGATTTCGCAATGTTTAAAAAAACATGAGATGAGTTAAACACAAGTAAGTCAGCTTAACTGTTCACATTAACAATAAAAGTAATATTTAATTTTATAGTATTTAAGATCTGTATTTGCCTCAAATACACAAATGTGAAATGACTGTGTAATCCACCTACTTTGGTCAGCTATGATTCCTTTTTCACAATGAAAAGATGAGCACACGCTGACACCTGTGGCCCCAAGTCACAACAAAGTTTTGGTGCTCTTGCTCCCACCTGGGCCCATTTTTGCTGAGTTGACCATGAGATCATGACAGTCTGGGTCCCATGCCCACAGGTGCACTGGACTTGATTTTTAGGGCTCTGGTAGGTACACAGAAGCCCAGCACTACTGTGCACACACCCTACAGGTAAGGGCTGTGGCAAGGCCAATCCCACACTGGTGCCCGTGCAGCCAAGCTCCACACTGTGGATCGGGCACAGGCCCAGGAAAGGAAAACTGGACTGCTGGTCCCGGGGTGCCCTTGGACAGAAGTGACTCCTCATGTTTGTTTTCTCATGTGTGAAATGACGAGGGTTATGTAACTGGAGGACAGGAGGAAGAGAGCCCTGAGGTCTGCATACTTAGAAGTCTTTACAGATTCAGAGCCCTAAAGGATAATTGCTCAGTGGGAAGGTACCCCATTCCAGAAGAGAAGTGAAACGCAACCAACAAGTCTCCTGCAGTACAAGTGGGAAGGGGCCTGCTGGGGTAGCCCTGTGGGTGGACACAGATTCATGTGTGAACCACAACCAAGTTCAAGACCTCAAAAGCCAGGCCATCATTTCACCTTGCCTGAAAGGAAGGAAGCAGGCGTTCAGGTTTTTCAACAGTGAAGCAGAGATGCCAGGTTAGCTGAATATTTAGATAAGAGTATGAGAAACTTTGATATCCCTGGAGTTGAAGCTTTAAAGAAAGTCTAAATTTCATTTTGAAATCAAGCCTTTGGTTCAAAGAAACTTACTACTGTGTCCAGTGTATGAAAAACACAATTTCAAATCTAGATCTTCTCGAAAGACTTTTCAAGGGCCACGATGTAGCTCAGTGACAAAGCACTTGCTTGCATGCATAAGCCCCTGGGTTCCATTCCCGGCACTGAAAAACTTTTTTTTTTTTTTTTCAATTAGTATAGTCATACCCTTAAAGTATTAAGAGAAAAGGTGTAGGATCACATCTTTCTGAGAACTAGGAAGAGAACCTCCTATCCACTGCTTAGTCATTAGTGTCCTGCCTGGTGGGACACACAGCTAGCTCCATTCTAAGCCCCTTTCCCCTATGCTGTTTCAGGTGAACCTGGGAGCAGCCCTGCTGCCATTGACGATCTGTGGAAGCCAGTTCACTGCATGTTAAGCTTAACTGCTGTGACTCAGTGTCCTCATCTATGAAATGGGCCACAGCACAATACTGTTGTAAAGGAGTAAACAAGCACAGCTTATAAAACACATGCAAGCAGTCAGTCAGCTACAAAGCAAAAGGTACTGCTTGTGCTGTGTGTTCCCAGACTCTGGGATGGGTAGGGACAAGGGCTTGCCCTGCTTCCCTTCACATTTGTCAGCATGCAGAGCTGAGGTTACAGACAGCACTTGACAAATGTGTGAAACAGGTGCTGTGTGACTAGGAGCATTAGTGAACTTCTGGTTTTTGTAAAACCAGCTAAATGACAACCAGGAGATTCTTTCTACTCAAGAAAAGACTGTCCACTGTGCAATTTTGCTCAGCCCATGTGGTATTAAACCGCATCCGTGACCAGGTAGGTGTGCTAAAAATCTAACCTCTCACAGGGGCTCCTCTCTACCTGGTGTCCTTAGTCTAAGAAAGCCGGACAGTTCCAAGGGGAAAAGTTGGTCAGGCCACTGTGCACTTGACCATCTGCAGAAGGAAATGCAGACAAGCTGCTCCCTTGGCAACCCTCCTGAGCACACGTGATGGTTTGTTTTCCTTATCCAGCAGGGTAGCATGTTGGCTCTATCAGCCAATAGCCATGTGGGGCTGCCCTCACCAGTTCTTCAGGCAGCCAATGCTGGGCCGCTGGCTCTGGGTGACAGCTGCGTCTGGTCACCAGGACACTAAAGGGATGGGACTCCTCAGCTTAAACTGCCAATTATCTACAGACCTCATCTCCATCACTCCCTGGTTCCTCCAGCTTCTGAAGTTGCTTGGCCAGAATCTGGGGGGCCCCTTTCTTTTCCCTACATGCAAACACTGCAGATGCCCAGTTTGAACCTGCGGATGACTCTACGTTCGAATAAACGTTAGTCAGAGGCTGAAAAGTGATAGTGACCCACAGACGAGTCCCTTCCAGTCTTACAAAAACAAGTACACTCACCGGCTGCTGTCCCACAACAGGGGGGCACCCACCAGGCGGAGGAGAAGATGGTGGCGATCACCTCGTCGGGGAAGAGGGTGACATTCCTCTGGATCTGCAGCAGGTTGAGGACCAGGGCCAGGACGACCCCGACCGAGAAGAGCACGAGGCTCCTCTGCACCAGGTGGTGATGCCAGCTGCCGGCACGGCCGCCGTGGACACCGTGGCCCGCTCGCTGGCTCCGGGGCGCGGGGTCGGTGTCCGGAGCCCCGGGAGCCGACGGGCGCCGGGACGCGGTTATCATACCTCCCACCTGGGCGGCCGGCCCCGCGGCGCGGACTCGCGGGGGACTCAGGTACCTCGCGGCGCCGGCGCAGGGGCAGCTCCAGAAGTGGTCGTGCAGCCTGGGCATCAGTGCCCGCCGCGTGCAGAGGCGCTTCTGCAGGACAGCGCGGGGACAAGTCAGCGCCAAGTCCGTCTCCAGGAGACAAAGGCCGGGAGACCCGCCCGCCCGTCCGCCCGGCGCCCACACGGGTCCTGCCTGGTCCGAGCCCCCAAACCCCGCGCTGCAGCCACCCCCGACCCCGCCGCGTACCTGCCGAAGGGCGTCCGCCCGCTGTCGGAATCAGAAGGGGCGTCGGCAACCTAAAAGACGCACCCGGACGGCCCAAGCGCGGCCGCAGCACCCGGCGGGCGCGCGGCTTATATGGCGAGCCGCAGCCAGGCACCACGTGGCCCAGCCCAGCCTATCCGTGGCCCGCGCGCGCCGCCCGGAGGCGGGGCCCAGGCTGGCCCCGCCCCTCCCGCGCGCCCGTCCGCACTGGGTCTGGTGAGGCGACCGCAGCCAATGCGAGGCAGGCGGCCCATATGACGTTCGCACACGCCACCACTGCCCGCGCTGGCCCGCGCGCTCCGGCGGGCGCGCGCAGCCCTGGCGGGCGAGGAGGAGGAGGAGG